TAATTTTGTAAATAAGTTGGGCCAATAATATAACCTACTGACTTGTTTGTAATATTCATCTAGCCCCCTATGAGCTCGACTGTGTGTTTCTTCTATTATTATGGCTTTATCTTCATCGTTTTCTATGTCTTGAAGAAAGATTCTTGTAAAAAGAAATTGGTTAGTGAAATTATTTTTTAAGGGTAATTGAATGTGATATAAGTCCTCTAATGTACAGTGAATTCCTACCGTAATGTTAGGTGGAATATACTCTTTTAATAAGTTTATTAAATTTTCTGGTGTGTCATATTCAATTAAGTGTCGTGTCCTGCCAAAAACTTCCAGTGACTCATGTATTGTAAACCCCCCCGTTGTTAATAACAGTTGTTGTTTAAACTGATTTAACGGCTCAGCTGAATGCTGTGTGTTTTGATCTGAGTTTGACTGTTCTACATCACTGTCTGTAATGTTATTTATTTGTATTCGAGATAATGCATCGGCTACAACATTTGTTGTACCGGGTTTATATTTATTTTTGGGGTAAAACTTTCTTTCTTTTTTAAGGCCCATACTATGGCTAGCAGTTCCTTTTTGTTTGTGGCATAAAGTTGTTCGGTTTTATTAAGTGTTTTAGAAATGAAAGTAATTGGTTTATTATCCTGTGACCCGATAGCTACGTCTGATGCGTCTGTTGTCAAAGTGAATTTTTTTCTAAAGTCCAGTTGAACTAGTTCCACTTGTGCTATTAGATTATCTTTTAGTTCGTTAAAAGCTTGTATAGCTGAATCGTCCAACTGTATGAAAACTCTTGTTGATATTTTTTAGAAACATTTCCATTTTCCCCTCCTAATTATTTTGTAAGAGGTTTTGCAATTTTTGCATAATTACGGACAAATTTTCGGTAGTAGCCAGTTAGGCCTAGACAACTTCGAAGTTCTCCAATCTTAAAATTGTGGAAATTTTTTTGGATCTGTTTTTATTACATTAAAAGAAACAATGTAGCCAAGAAACGAGTCTTCTAATTTAAAGAATTTAGATTTTTTGAGAGAAATTTTCATATTTCGTCTTTGTAAAATGCTTATTATTTGAGTTAAGTCCGAGAAATGTTGCTCGATTGTGTTTGAAAAAATTATAATATCGTCCATGTAGACGTGGCATGTTTTTCCTACTTGTTCTCTGAGAATATCATCCATTGCTCTCTGGAAAATTCTCGGCGCATTTGTTAATCCGAAAGGCATGCGCAAAAATTCAAATTTTCCGTTTTTAATGGAAAAAGATGTTTTTTCGATATCCGAGTCTTTCATTAAAATTTGATGGAATCCTGATTCCTAGTCAATTGTTGAAAAAAATTTTGCCTTTCCTAAGTTGGCTAATATAACAGAAGGGTCTTGCATCGGATATCTGTCCGGTATTGTGTTCTCATTTAATTTTTTGTAGTCTATAACGAGTCTGTGTTTAAGGCTACCGTCTTCGTTTTGGACTTTTTTGGGGACCACCAGAACTGGTGAATTGTAAGGACTTCTACTCGGCCTTATAATATTTTCATTTAACATTCTATTGATTTCGCTATTAACGAAATCTAAAACCGATAAGGCATATTTATATTGTTTGCCATAAATTTCCCTGTCATTAATTGTATTTATTTCGCCCCGAATGTCAGTTCTAAAAGGAATTTGTACGTTTATTTTAGAATGTTCCTCATTTATTTTAGAATGTTCCTCTTCAATTATGTCAATTATTTTTTCTCCAAATCATCTACTTGATTTGAATTTAACATTTTAATGTTATTAATTTTATTTCTTTCAGAATCTTTTGATCCCAATTTTTTTACTTTTTTATTGACGGAAAATTCTTTGTCGGCGTGTTCAGGATATTTGGATCCCAAACAATTTTTTTTTGTTGACGGATAATTCTACGTCGGTGTGTTCAGGATTTTTAGATCCCAAACTATTTGTTTTTTTGTTGACGGATAATTCTACGTCGGCTTGATCGGGATTCCGTGATCCCAAGCTAAATAAACTATTTTCAACCATTTGTGATTCTGTTTTGATTCCACTTTGATCTTTAAAGTATTTTTTTATAATATATTCTTTTAGTGGAAAGATAATTTTTCCTTCAGTTACGATAATTGGTTTAAAGAACTATATTAATCATAAAATAATTTTTCTTCTTTTTCGTTATACTTGATCGTCCCTTTTTGAATAACAAGTACCGCTCCTATCTTTTTTAAAAGATTAAAACCTATAAGTAAGTCGGATTCTAACCTTTCTATTTCATAAAATACTTTTTTTGTGTTAAATATTGTTATTAAATGATAATATTTTATTATTGTAAACCCATTAATGGTTGAAACTCTCTTGTAAATTGGGAGCTCTTTTTTATTTTGATAAATTCCCTTTTTTATGTAACAGGATGTCGCTATTGTGTCGATTAAAACTTTTAATTCTTTTTCGATTTTTTTGTCTGTTCTCATCATACTCCGGATTCTGATCTAAAAAATGATCCTCTTCTATATTATTTACTCTCATATTTTTTTGAGCAGGCTGATTACTTGAACCAGTTGATTCCCGCTTTAACAGGGGATGTGGTTCAGATGGTTTGTTCTGACCGGCGCTTATATTTGTTTTTTGCGCTTGGTTTTGATTGTAATTATTTCTTGGAGAATAATTATTATAATTTTGTCTGTTATTATTACCCCTATTAAAATTGTTATTAGGTCGATTTTGATACTGGATTGATTCATCTATCTCCATGGGTTCAGGAGTAGACTGTACCTGATTGTTATTGGACTTCCAATTATTATTTTGTCCCCACTGATTGTTGTTACTCTGTCCCTGATTCCACTGATTATTTTTTACCTGTTGCAGAGATCTTTAATTGTATCTCAAATAATTTGAATTATTGTTATTAGTGGTCTTTTGATTAAAAGAATTATTATTTTGTTCTGGGCCATTACCATAATTTGAGCTATAATTTCTATAACTCATTCCAACGAAATTGTGAACGAATTTTGTTCTCATATAATTACTTTCCATCTCCTGTACAAACGCCATTGCATTGGGCAAGTCTGTTGGGTTCATGGAATACGGAGTCGATGATATTGGGCCGTTAAGGCCAGTTACGAAAACTCTTAGTGCACTCTGTCTATGTCTATTATTAATTTCTGAAGGGATTGGCTTATTACGGCCATACGTCATTATAGTTTTGTTAGTTAACAATGTTAGTTTCCTGTACACTTAGTTATAGTATTCCATTACACTTAGTTTTCCTTGTGTGAGAATACTTAATTCTTGTTCGATAATGTGTAGCGGTCTTCTATCACTAAAAACGAAGTCTAATCTGGCTAGGATTGCATATAAATTTAGGACTGTTCCATGGATGGTTAGAGCATCATTTGCTTTCCCGGTTATCTTGTTCCTTAATATTGATAGAGCTGCAAAATATCGCTTACTTTTTCGAATATACTGACTCATAGCGTTTTCTGCTGCTTCCCTCCAACTAATATACTTTTCATGTTCCCCCTTAAATTCTGGAACTGGTTTAATGATTTCATAAAATTTTTCACATTTTTTTGAATTGTCAACTTCTTTAATTTTATAATCTTCTACTTTGTTGACATTTTTTTGAAGTTCGGTTTTAAGTGTTTTTATTTCTTGTTTTAAAGAATTTACCTCCGATGAAACAATCTGTTTTATTAATTCTTTAGTCAAAAAGGCTTGCCTTTCTAATTCTTGATTCGCCATTTTGCTTGTGCTTGGCGTTTCGGTCACTTCCAAATTATTAAATAGATTCAACAAAACTTCTAGATCTTCCAGGATGTATTGTATTTATCTTATATTTATCTTTATCTTTATATTTATCTTTTAAATTAAATTTTTACTTAAAATATAATTATTCTTATTTCTTACGATCTTTCAATTTTTAAGTTTTGTCTTTTTTGATGTTTGGGTTGTAGTCGTGATGAATTTTGGCGAGGGATTGCCCTTCAGCCCTTCCTTCCTTCCTTCTTTGTTATTTTGGTTGTAGTCGTGTTGAATTTTGGCAAGGGATTGCCCTTCAGCCCTTCCTTCCTTCCTTCTGTGCGTTATTAAAATATTTCCGTTCTTTTCTCTTTGGTTTTCCCGTTCGTTAAGTGTTTATTTTATTTATTTATTTATTTATTTTTTTTTTTATTTATTGTTTTATTTTTAATTTTTATTGTTTATATTGTTTAAAAGTAATTTTTTTTTTTTAATTGTTTTTGGTTTCCACTGAATTTATTATTTTGTTTTTTTTTTTGTGTGTTCTTGCACTGTGAATTTATTTTTTGGTCCACCTTTATTATATATTACCAGCTATTTAAATGGATTATTGCATTAATTGATTTCCATTTAAATTTTTAAATCACGATCACTTGTCACAATGTTAGGTGTCGTCGATTTGTGTGGATGTTTTGATTTTTCCACTAAAAATTGTTGGGTTTTTTGCGGCGCGAGTTCCGTTTAAATTAACTTGTTATAATTAATATGTTTTTAGAACTTATTTACGACACCGCCCCACCAATTAAGATTGTCACTGGTAATATTTTAAAAAATGTATATTATTTTTTATTTAAACTTGGTGTTAAACCTTTTAATTATTATCACTAATACAAGACACTAATTTACAACTATCAAACCGATCGCGGCCTCGGACAAAATAGGACTGCGGCTTAGTTCTAAAAAATTATCCAACGAACCTCGGCCAGAAGCTTTTCTTTCTTAAGCTGCCAGAAATAATTTTTGTTTAAAATTAAAGCGTATGCTGAAACTGTCGCATCTCGCTGTGAAATGAAATTATGCTGACCGATGCAATTTGATTCAAAATCGGAACGCAATATGATCTGAACTTAGAACGCAATACTGTGGACTTCGAGCGGAAGCTGATGTTTACTTTAAGTTGGGTTTGTTTATCTTGGCTGGACCACCAAGAGCGGACCGCAAAGCCAAAGGCGAGGGCAAAGACAAAAGCAAATGCAAAAGCATAGGCAAAGATCGCTTAGATTGAATTTTGAAAATTGTTTATTAATTCCATATGAGGCCCGGTTTCACAGGTTGGATAATTTGCATGCGTAGGGTAGCGAGCGATTTTGGCCCCCAAAAGTGCGAGAATTGTTGGCCACCAAGAACGGTTTTTGGATCGCGGTTAGTCATCCAGGCAATGAGGTTTTCCATAAGAACTTATTATTGCCCAACCTTGTGGGGCTCGATGCTGGAGAGACCCTAAGAATCAGGTTGATGTTAAATTCTTGTCACACTTTTTTTTACTAATTCTTACCCTAGCCAAGAAGGTACTCGGGGGCTGTAACCGCAACACTCAACAGAAGGGGTAGTTAAATACCCGCAGACAATCGAATCAATTTAAAGAATTTAATTCCAACTTCACACGAGTTTTTTATATTGGTCAGCACGGGAATACTTTGATATGAACTTATCTTTGGCACCGGTATTGAGAGAATGAGAACGGGGTAAGAACGGAAACGGGGTTGTAAAACTTAAGCTCGGCTTTACATGTGCATTTGATCAGCTGATAAGCATCAATGGATACCAATAGATATATACTAGATAAGCTTTTGGCTCATGACTGCGTTTTTGTACAAATACTAAATGTGTAGATGAACTATTCTCACCCTCACGCCACAGTTTCGATCTTTATCGTACTGGTAATGGTAAAAGCTGAGAAAGGGTGATACAAAAAAAAAGGTTTAAGCTTTCCAAATATCTTTCGCGTGGAAATTTCCCAAATAGCCTTTATTTCTACGGGTGCTAGCTTGACGTTAAAATGGAAAGCTAAGTTACTGAGTTGAAAATTCCTTTTTATAACTTCATCCCCAATATCAAAAGTTCGCGGTCTACTTCTCAAGTTATAAGTATGCTGAATCTTCATGTAAGCTTTTTCTAGGTTCTTGCCTATGTCGGAACGTAACTTTGAGAATTCATCCTCTCGAATTAATCTGGTTATGCTCTCAATTAATATTCCTAGTGTTTTAAGCAACTTGTAGTCCTCACCGTGGGTAATCATATGTTGCCCAAACACAATGAAATAGAGAACCATTCCGACGGATTGGTGAAAGGAGTTTCGTAGGGCGCAATTGATAGCGCCATGAAAGGTATCCCATTCCCGTTGATCCTTTCGGACACAAGATCGAAGGGCCGCATTAATGGAGCGGTTTACCCATTCGGCAACATTTGATTGCTGGGCATAAGCTCCTGTACACAAGTCTTGAATGCCATGTTTTAAAAGAAAATCTGCGAATTCGTGACTATTGAACTGGGTTCCATTGTCACTAACAACAATTTGTGGAACGCCAAAACAAGGAAACAAAATATCTCCTAAGTATTCAATTACCACCTTCGACTTGAATTTGCGAACGTCCTTTCGAGAAGTGAACTTTGAGAAGTGGTCTATGACGATCAGAACGCCAAGGTTAACCTTTTTCGATCGTGGAAAAGACCCATTAAAATCAATGTAAGGCCGCTGAAACGGTCATCTGACTCCCCATTGGAGGTTTTAGTATACACGTTGGATGTTTTTTTTTGGGCAGTAAAAGCTACGTCGTATTCTTTCTAAGCATTTGGCCACGCCACAGTGTGCCCAGGCTGGCTGGTCGTGATTGGAACGGATTGCTTCCAGACGGAGTTCCGATGGGACAAATAATTTTTAGCTCTTATCCTGGTTTTCTGAGGTAGCAAAACAGGTGTCTGGTAAATTAGCTTGCTTAAACTTTCTCTTAGTTCTGTATATTCACTAGATTGAAAGGCGATGGATTTTAAATCAATACAAGGCAATGAATCTAATTTGAATTCCGCTATGTTATCATCTTCCTCAAAAACCCGCGGGCGTCGGGCACTACATTATCACACCCATTGCGAGCTCTATGTCAAATACGAATCCTTGTAGTTTAATAGCCCATCTGGCTAGTCTTCCTCTAAGGTCTGGCTGGCTCATTAACCATCGGAGGCTGGCATGATCGGTTACAATCTTAAAAGGGTGTCCTTCTATGTACATTCGGAACTTTTTCACGGCTAAGATGACCCCTTCAGAGCAGTGTTTGACGCTGTTTAAGCGCAATTTGAAGGAGTTTCTGCGTCGTTTCGTGACCGGCGACGAAACATGGATCCACTGGTACACACCAGAGACCAAGGCACAGTGGAAACAGTGGACTTCACGCGGCCGGGAAGGTGATAACTACCGTTTTTTGGATTCACAAGGTGTGATCTAAATCGACTACCTGGAGAAGAGCAAAGCGGTCACAGGGCTGAACTATGCCGAATTATTGAGCCGATTCGCCGCCGAATTGCACGAAATACGGCCCCATTTGGAGAAGAAAAAAGTGCTCTTCCATCATGACAACGCACCGGCTCACACACATTGGCCTACGAACTGCTACCCCATCCACCATATTCTCCAGATTTGGCCCCGTGTGAGTTCTTTTTGTTTCCAAACTTGAAAAAGTCACTCGCTGGACAGAAATTTTCGTCGAATGAGGAGGTCGTCGCCGCCACTGAGGCCTATTTTGCAGACCTCGAGAAAACGTATTTTTCAGACGGGTTAAAAAAGTTGGAGCATCGCTGGGTCAAGTGTATCGGGCTAAAAGGAGATTATGTTGGGAAATAAATCGCCACTTTTCCAAAATTTTCGTTTTTCTTTTGGAGGCTAAGTACTTTTCGGACCACCCTCGTACAAAGGTGCGAGGCAGAGCCGAGATTTCATTTTTTCTTCTATAACGTTTTGGGATATTATTCGGTCAATTTCATCGCAAAGAAATTTTTCCCTAGCCGGAGATAAGGGATAAAACCTCTGTTTTATGGGCTTTGCATTCGATGGAGTGCTCCACTAATAGAGTTTTCCATAGACCGTTTTTTTTCAAATTCAGGAAACAAATTAATTACGGACTGAAAACTAATCTCTCGGGCTTTTCTAAGTGGTCAACTGAAGTTCGTTTATGTTACCCGCTATACAAATAGAGATTCCGAATTCGCTCCAAAAGTCCATTCCACATATGACGTTTTGGTTTATGGATGGTACTATCAAAAAGACATGTCCCTTTGTACAGAGTTAAACGAAATAGGTAATGTATATATGCCTACCACCTCCTGTGTTTGCCGATCGGCGGTTTTAACCATTCCCTTTAGCGGTCTAACGGGACATTTTTGTAAGATAATACGCTGCGCTAATTCTGCATCGATAACGCTCTTTTTGGCTCCGCTATCCAATAATGCTAAGTACAACTGATATAATATTTCTAAGATCGAATACGATCCGATGACCGTGTTTGAAATTTATCACCTTCCGATTGATGCTTCGTTTCTTTCTGAGGTGCTTGCATTCGAATGTGATAAGGTAAGAATCTGAACAAACTGTTAGTGACTATGGCTGTGGCTGACTGTGGGACCCTTTTAAATCCGAGACTTGTTGTGGATATTCGACTAAGGGAGACTACGAATATCCCGTACTAAGTTTTCCGGCGGTGAATTTCACTTTTGGCAGTTGTGTGTTAATATATGTTAATAAGGCCGCAAAATACGCGTCTAGACTTTAGACAATCTCGATATCTGTGCCCTATCTCATCACAGTTCCAACACTTAATTTTGTCGGAAGAACGAATTACACACACCTCCTCCGGAGATGTAATGACTCATTTTCCTCGCTGTCTACAATCTCTTCCTCAACCTGAATAGCATTAGCAGAATTTTTGGAAATCGGAAGGGAATTAGGTCTGGACCGGGAGCTCCTGAAAAATTCCTCATGCCTATGACACTCTTTCCGTAGAACAGATAGACTGGGAGTGGGAACGTGTAAGAGCTCATGTTTCAACTCGGGTCGTAAATTGTACCTTATTTCTGTCGCTATATCTGATAAGTTCGTTCGTCTCGGTACCTATCCTTTAGGCACACGAACTAAACCAAGTCATCATATCTGAGCTTCGATGCACACGCCAATAAAACGTCAATGCTGATCCCGAAAATAGGAGATTAGCAAACTGAAACAACAGATCGAAGTTTCCATTTAGGCACTGCGTTGTCAAGCAGTTATTCCGATATATAAAATCTTCGATAGGAATGTCGGTACTAAAGCCGCTGAATTTAAGGTGCTAATTGAAAATTACACTCGAAACCTTATCTGGTCTCTCTGCCGTACATTCGCTTGATGATTAGAAGAAAAACGTCTCGAATTATTGTCTTTGAAGTTACTCAATCGCGGCAAGTTATCGTGGTCCTATTCCAGCTGTGCCTCTGCGCGAGCGTCTCGAATGTGTGAATCCAGGTTTAAATTTGCTAAAGATTCACCAATTTCTCCCCATGTGTTTTTAAAGATTTAGCTTTTATTTGTTGAACTCGCTCTTCGGATAAGCTTTGCGTATTTGGAGCTATACTTTGACGACTTGGCTCGCGACTTATTGAAGTATTTGGGGCTGATCTAGGGACATTAGAAGTGTTTTGCACATTCCGTGAAGTATTCCTGGTTGGTGGTCGAGTTCTGGGTACGGTTCCTGATCTTGATCTGATCTACCAGCCGTAGCACTTGGCACTTGCACAATCTGAACCCTTGCTTCTATGGGTTGTGGTACAGACTCTTGATTTAATACTGCCTCCCGAGTACAAACCTGTCGTCTCGAATTGTTGTCTCTGAAGTTATTCAATCGCGGCAAGTTATCGTGGTCCTATTCCAGCTGTGCCTCTGCGCGAGCGTCTCGAATGTGTGAATCCAGGTTTAAATTTGCTAAAGATTCACCAATTTCTCCCCATGGGTTTTTAAAGATTTAGCTTTTATTTGTTGAACTCGCTCTTCGGATAAGCTGTGCGGATTTGGAGCTATACTTTGACGACTTGGATAGCGACTTATTGAAGTATTTGTGGCTGATCTAGGGACATTAGAAGTGCTTTGTACATTCCGTGAAGTATTCCTGGTTGGTGGTCGCCGTTGCACTTGGCACTTGCACAATCTGAACCCTTGCTTCTATGGGTTGTGGTACAAACTCTTGATTTAATACTGCCGCCCGAGTACAATCCTGTCGGCACAATGGACAGGTCTTGTTAGTTTCAAACTAAGTTAGTAAACACGATTTATGATACTGGTGTCTGCATGGGGTTGTTATAAGTTCGACATCAATGTTAGCCTCGTTACAAATAGTACAGAAAAATGGTTCCATTGGCAGATACCAATGTTACGAGGTTTTCAACACTACGCCTAACAGTCATATTTTGAGACATTATTGTAATTTGTTTTATTACTATAATTTTTTTTATTTAACTGGTTGTTGTTTCCTTTTAATAAATTTTTTACCTTAATTAGTCGAAAAATGTTCTTTGATTTGATGAAATTAAAATAATTTAATTTTTTAGGGCTTTACCTTATACAAGTTAATATCTGCATGCCTTTTGCTTTGTAACCGATTTAAATAGAAATAGCTTTTGAATTTAACTTCGTGTAAAAGCGAAACATGACCAAAAAAATATGAAGCTGTACGCCTATCAATTTTACAACGATTTGATAAGGTATTTAAAATTAAATTACATGG